TTATACTGTATGTTATTCAACTAAAATATAATTTGATTATTATTTGCTTATCTATAGAAATTAAAACTATTTTAATTTTTATTGTGATATTAATAATAATTTATTTATTGCATTTAAATTACTTGTATTAATGATTTATTTTGCATTTGTTATATTTTTTTTACAGTGGATTGTTGTGGTTCTCGTTATATGGAGGCTGTTGAATCCACCCAATTGCTGTAACGGCCAAATCCATTTGACCCCCAGAGACGAGTTCAGGAGGAAGGTTTTACTGATGTGGTTCTGGAGACTCCAGCTTCAGATGCTGATATACAGGTCGAGTCTCTCAGTGATGAGGATACACATGTGGCTACTTTTCAGCAGAGACAGGGACGAGGGCAAGCTAAGCCCGTGCAGATGCCTACAGATGGGACGAAGATCGCATTAGAGTTAGATGAGTATAGAGGTTTGCCACAATAGGTCAGACGACAGATTGTGGTCCAGTTGCAGGAGAATCTCCTAGATGCTTACACATCATGGGGACAGGTCCGTCGTGAGCATCGAGACATGTATTGGAATATATTTAGTGTGCACCCTAAACACTTAATTTTTATCTACAAATTAGATATTTTCAATTTCTATCTTTAAATTTTAAGTGATTTGAATTTGTTTTGTTATTAAATTATTTATTTATTTATATTTCTATTATTTTCAGCAAACATATGAATGGGATCCTACGATTGATAAGATTGTAGAGGATTTATGGAGCATGACAACAAAGATCAAGTTCAAGCATGCACTTAGTGAGTTGAAAGCTAAGTGTGCAAAGAGAAACTTTCAAGCTAAGCTTCCAGATATGAATCCAGAGTTATGGGCAAGGCTTGTTTATTTATGGATTGAGGTAATGGAGTAAATTCATGTGTTTATTATTATTTATTTTTTAATTTTCAATTGCAATGTTTAATGTTTTTATCATATTATTAATTAAGAAAATATATGTGTTCACCACTTTTACAAGACGAGGGTCATTTGAAAAGGGAAGGTCAAGTTTTGCAAAGGCTAATCGAGCAAAAGGACCGAGGGTGACACATACTAGCGGTTCAATGGACGTTAATGTTCATAGCAAGAAAATGGTATAAAAATTAACATATTTTTAATAAATAATTAATGAATTATGATTTATAATTTATTTTATATTGATTTTAATATTTTCTCTTCTTTTTTTTCTTTACAACAACAAGCAAACCCCGAGGGTCATCTATCGAGATTTCCTGAGGTCTACACCAGTAGAAGGCAGCACAAAGGAAAAGGAAAATACCAACTGCCTATATATTGTAATGATGAGGCTCAAGAAATTGGAGTAAATATTTAATTTAACAATTTTACTTTAAATTGTGTCATGAATTAATTGAAATTATTTGGGTTATAATATTAAAATTATTATACAATATACTTATTGGTAAAAAGTTAGAACTCCATCCTTTCAAGAGAGAGTAAATTGAATTTAGGTGCCTAAAGTGATATTTTAAATTACTTTTTAATTTTCAATACAATTAATTATTTATTTTGTCTTATATTATTTCAGAAAAAATTGACAGCTGAATATGCTACTAGGCAAGAGGAAGAAGGATTTGAACCTACAATAGCTCATGGTGAGTTATTACTTAGGGCAACTGGTAGGGTTAAGAAAGGACAGCTGAAAGGTTTGGATATTTACACACATCCACAAAATATAGGTGTGAGCACATCCAGACGGGAACCATTCAGGCCACCCATTGTAGGACAGTCTAATAGGATTATTGAATTAGAGTAGACTGTTGAATCATTGAAGGCAGATAATAGTAGCCTTTGACAATCACAGATGACCCTTATAACAGATAATGAGAGCCTACGACAACAACAGATGACCCTTGCTGCACAGATGCAACAACTTTACCAGCATTTAAGGATGACCCCAACGGATACCAGTAGGACAGTCACCCCTAGGACACCCCGAGATATTTAGGTTTTTTATATTTTAATTACATATTTGTATTTACTTTATATTTGTAGTAGATATTGGAGACTAATATATTTAGAGTAAATTAACAAAATTTTCTAGCATTTTATATGATAAATATAATAAATTATGTGAAAATAATTTTACATTATCAAATATATTAATTTAAATATCAATTAAATTTTTTATATATAAGAAATATCGAATTAAATGAGATACTTATACAAAGATTGGTTTCAATTAGTGTACCAACTGTAATAAACAGATAAATGGCTAGCACAAACAATACTATACGGACCGATCCCGGTCCATATATATAAAAGCTGACTGCAAAATACCCGCAACCGGCTCAGTAAAAAAAAAACAGAATGTCGAAGCAGTGTAGCACTAGCCGGCTTTCATTCCCTAGCTGGCTCAACTTATTCAAACAATTGTATACGGACTAATCTTGGTCCGTATATAACCTACAAACCTGTTAAGCTAGCTACAAAAGTTTTACAACCGGCTCAGTCCAAAAAACAAAATGTTTGAGGTAGTGCAGCACTAGCTGGCTTTCAATCCTTAGCCAGCTCTACACACACCATCATCTACGGACCGATATCGATCTGTTTATATAACTGCTAATATATACGGACCAATATCTGTCCGTATAAACATGGAACCCAACATTGACATCTAAATCAGGTGACAATCTGTTTTGATATATACGGATCGGTATCGGTCTGTATATACTTGTTTGTGCCACCAGACGATTGTGCCATTATGTACATACCATGTATATACAAACCGAAATCGGTCCGTATATAATTGTTTTCGTTCAGCTGGCTCAGGAATGAAAGCCGGTTGGTGCTGCATTGCCTCGAACATTTTGTTTTTTTTATTGAGCCAGTTGTAAAAATTCTACAGCCGGCTTAACAGGCCTTGATTTTTTACAAGATATATACGGACTGAAACTGGTCCTTATATAGTTATACAAACCGGCTTTGGTCCCAATATATACCAACCTGAAGCTTTCTCCTTGTTTTCCTTATCTAATGCTCAATTCATTATACTCTCGTTTTAAACCATAACATTCTGAATGTTTGCGTGCGTGCCAAAGTGGTTAACCTTACCCAAAAAAAATCAATTTTACTTGCTTTTGGCTCCAAAAAAACATTACGTAACCTTTTATCTAATAACCTTGTAGTTATACATTTAAGGTTTTACAACGATTCTATATCGCGTCATTGTTAGATAATTTCAAGTAAGGAATCGATGGTTTCGGGGTTACAAGGGAGCATAGTGTTGATGTTCACGCAATAGGTTTTCGTAAGAATGGATTTGGGCCACAAAAAAATGGTGATGTCCTTAAATGAAAAGAATAAAAGGCTGCACAAGGAGAAGTTTCTGGATTTTTGCAATATATTTGGACCAAGAACGGCCTGAAAAATCAGAAGAGTGGAAGCTTCTGGATTATGCCCCTATATTCAGACCAAAATCGGTCCGTATATATATTTAAACCAAATTTAATTTATCTTTATACTTAAAAAAATTTTATTGGACTTATATACTGATCGAAACTAGTCCTTATATAGTTATCCAGATCAGCTTTGGTCCCAATATATACCCACTTGCAGCCTTCTCATTGCTTTTCTTATCTCATGCTCAATTCGTTATACTCTCATTTTAAACAATAATATTCTGAATGTTTGCATGCCCAAGTGGTTAATCTTGCTCAAAAAAATCAATTTTACTTGTTTGTGGCTCCAAAAGAACATTACGTAACCTTATATCTAATAACCTTGTACTTATACATTCAAAGTTTTACAATGATTCTATATAGCGTCATCGTTAGATAATTTCAAGTAAGGAAACGATGGTTTCGAGGTTCTAGGGGAGTATAGTGTTGATGTTCACGCAATTGGTTTTCGTAAGGACAGATTTTGGGCATGGGAAGATGGTGATGTCCTTAAATGAAAAGAATAAAAGGCTGCACAGGGAGAAGATTCTAGATTTTTGCAATATATTCGGACAAAAAACAGTTTGAAAAATTGACAGAGTGGAAGCTTCTAGATTATTTGAATATGTTCAGACCAAAACCGGTCCTTATATATATTTAAATCGAATTAAATTTATCTTTATAATTAAAAAAATTTTATTGGACTTATATACGGATCAATCTCGGTCCGAATATAACCGATTACTACGAATACAAGATTTTGGATTTTTTTCAATGTATTCAGACCAACAACAGTCTGAATAAAGGTGAGCGGCATATAAAATACATAACTTAGTTCATCTTTATAATTAACACTTATATATACAAACCGATACCGGTTCGAATATAACCGATTAGTTTCGTTCCCGAAAAATTAAATTTTTTTAGGATTGCCGCTTAATTATTTAGTTCCGGACTGTTTTCGGTCTGTATAGTTTGCCGCCAAAATTTCACCGTAAATTAAACTTTTTGATAATTTACAGGCTGATATCAATTTGGACATGTTTGCCCCTTAAATTTTCAGCAAATTTGAAGTAATCCGCTGGCAATAATGTGGCCTTATTTTTGGTATATTTGGCCCGATTTCGGTCTGTATAGATCCTATATATAACCAGCTCCCACTCATTCTTCTTTCTCATTTCCTTTCTCTATTCCTTTTACTCTTTCTGCTTTTGTCTTAGTCTTTCTCTTTTTTTCCTCTCTTTGTCCTCTCTTCTTTCTCTACACTTCATAATATTCTTTCTCTTTTCTCTTTTTCTTTCCACTCATACTCTTCCCCTCTCTTTCACGTTTTTTTTTTCCTCTAATTTTTCTGTTTTTTCCAATCTTTTTTATTCCACTTTTTGTTTTATCCATAATATGTTTTGTTTACTAATTTCTTTTTATCCATAATAAGTTTTTAATTTTGGTATATTTTTATTGTTTACTAACTTCTTCTTTTTTTGTTTTTTTTTT